CCGGTGATACTTCTGCAGGAGTTTTATAAAAACTCTCTCCAGAGGTTAATTTTTCAATGTCGATTTTTCGCCATGTTTGCCGGTAGTCGCTTTGCAACTACCGGCGAAACACCGGAATGTGAAAAAAAATCGACGATTTCTGGTTGCAGTGTAAATGCAGCTATTGATGGCAATGGTTAATACAAGTCAAAGTCCTCTGGAAAATCGGGTCAATGTATAGAAACCCCCTGGCTTTGCCTTTCGATAATTGAGCCTGCGAAACCCCGTAATCGTTTAATAAATCCGGTAGATTAATTTCAGGATCGGTCACTACTCATGCACTCATGCAGTTAATGACAATCATCAGATCATGACGACATTAATTTAATGACAGCTTTGTGTTGAATATGAGAGTAGTATATGTGATGATGACGAAAGTGGAGTCAACGCAGTATTATTTTGCACATTAGCAATGGCATGAGTAGCAGTAGTTGTTCCTATATGATTTATTACAGTATAGAAAAGAAAATTATGACAGTTTGAACATCAATATAATATCCATGGTATTTCAATTCAATCATGAAAAGGGAGAGAATCAGCTAAATTTAGAATAATTGTGAACGAAAACGCTATTTCCGAAGATATTAAACATGTCACAATTTTGTATTCCCGTTTCTTGAAGTGAGCACGATCTCCATCGTAAAGAGCGCAGCTGCAGCGCAACATTTCCATTCAAAAGCGCGACATGATTATCTCATTTTCTCGCGTCTCTTTAGACTACTGTATCTGCCTCAATCCCCAACAGTGATATCCACTTCAGATTCCCGTACAATATAGACTGCATGAAGATGTAAAAGAAGAGGAGGAGGAAGAAGAAGAAGAAGAAGAAGAAAAAGAAGAAAAAGAAGAAGATGAAGAAGAAGAAAAAGTAAAAGAAGAAGAAGACAGACAAGAAAAGGGTGGAGGAGAAGAAGAAGAAAAAAACGCAGTTCGAAGAGGAGCAGCAAGAAAAAGAAGAAAAACATCAAGAACAAGAAGAAAAGGAAGAAGGATTGCAGACGAGGCTAGATCGAGAAACCAAAACAACAAGACGAAGAAGACGAGAAGAAGAAAAAGACAAAGGAGGAGGATGAAGAACTTTAAAGAGAGAGAGAGAGAGAGAGAGAGAGAGAGAGAGAGAGAGAGAGAGAAATAGAAAGAGGGAGGACGCAGGACATTAATTTGATACATCATTCGGATGTCAGATGAGATAGAAATCTCTAGGGTGGATGGTTACAAACTCGGCAACATTTGAGCCGTTCGATTTGGGTAAACTGAGCGATACGGGAGCTAAAACATTCCTCGATATTTCGCGGGTGTGTTTGATTTTCATTTCAAGAGCAATGAAGGAGAGCTCAGTCCACAATAAGGTGCACGGTTCGGCTCCACGCGGGAATGGGACAAAGGTTATACAGTTATTCCCTCTTTTCCCCTGCATGAGACGGATAAGTATGAATAACATTACTACTTTATAATACGGAGAAAAGGAGCCAATGTGAAATAACTATACGTCGCATATTAATTTAAGGAGAGCGTGACATCATTAAGTCCTCAAGGCATCTCTTAAGTTCGAAAAACAAAAAGCTGAGTCACAAGAGGAGTATTTATGCAATTTTTGCAAAGAATAATAAAGATTAGATTCACAGCATTACCTTATATATATATATATATATATATATCTCGCTTTGTCTCTCGTTCTCTCTCCCTCTCTCCCTTTCTCTCTTTCTCTCCCTCTCTGTCTGTCTCTATCTCACACTCTCCTCGGTCTCCCGTGCTGTCTGCACTATTATCCTCCCTACCTCTCTTCTATATTTCCCTCCAGCCCTATGATGATTGTGGAATAGAATGTTAAGCGAATTTTATGAATTGTATTAATTTGTATATATATATGTGTACACTGATTTTTTAATTCATTCACTGCGTGATATGTCTTAATACGTTTTATGTTTGTATAAATATTTATGTTTTTACAATGTACAAAGTTCTGCAATTCAACCATCTGGCTGCAAATGAATTTTTAATAAAACCATTACCATTACCATTACCAAATGAAGAATTGATAATCATAGTATTATTATAGCTTACACTAGGATGTTATCAAATATTACCCAATAGTTTGCCTTGATGCATAAAATTAGCAGTAGCTTAAAATTGTATTCACGTAAATAAAGGCCAATTTTACGAATCGCAAATGCTCTACGCTTTAATATTGCAGATTCAATGGAGTTATTCGATACATTGTGACTATGCTGATGAAATGCAACTATGGAAGGTTCTCCCCAATTAATTCAAACTTTTGTTATGCGCCATTTTGAATTTTGTAATAGTTTGCTTTTTGGTCTTCCGTCTTATCAAATCTAAAGATTACAACTTATTCAAAAGTCAGCAGCGTGATTCGTAACACGAACAAAGAAATATTAATTAATATCTCCAGTCTTAAGAAATTTACATTGATTACCTATCCAGTGTAAATTACTTTTATTAACTATTATACACATTTTTATCAGTTTGTTCCATCATTTCTCTTGAATTGTTAATGCAGGAAAAACCGAAAAAGACGCTGCGTTCCAGTTAAAGTCGTTATTGTATGTCCTACAAACTATGACGACATCTTACAGGGAAAGTGAGATCAAATGAATTACCGAGCTAACGTCGCTTGAGCATCACCCCCCCCCCCCTCCATTTCTTTAAATACACATGTTTAGAGTGAAAGCGACTTTGAGAATGTATCCTTTTGTTTGGAGAACGTGCTGAAAAAGTAGTAAGGAGAAGAACGTGATACTTTATACAAATTGTATTGATGATTCTTTGATAAACACACACACGTATGTAGTGAGATGTATTAAGAGAGGTCATTTAGATGTCGATTTATAAACGGCTTTAGCATGGGCATTTAACACTTACAACATGGCGTCGTCGTACTTTTTATGTGAATATAATATTGCACGGATAACACTGTAGGCACAGGCGTAGCCAGCCTTGTTGAACGGGTGGGGGTGCACAGAATGATGGAGGCTACACAGAAAATCATAGTCGTAGGATTCCGTGGATTACCTCATTTTTTTGCGGATGAGAAGATGGACATGGCCCCATTACCTTCCCTCACCCCTCCCACCCCTCCCCACCACATGATACACATATGATACATCTACTGTCTTTAATATTTCCTCCACCAACGGAAAATGTCAATACTGCTCAGAGATTGTGGTATGCTTTATGTTTTTATGTTTTCGGTGACAAACCTGTGCTCTAATTATGCATTGGCCCCACAAATACAAAATCATAGCATAATGCGCATTGCTATTGGGTCGTGTTATATAGAGCACTCTAATTTCAGTCAAAGCGGAAACTTCATGTAATGGAATGATAAACAAAGAGCTATGAACCGTAATGAATATCACCCACAAACCATTTATAATTAAGTAGAGCGAAATATGTATGAATTGGAGTATTTGGGCATGCCCAGCCAGCAGTTGCTAATTTCTATATGACATAAACATCTGTTGTTCTATATTTCATTCATTAGCTCGAGAGATCGATACCTCTGGGATTGATATATTATATTTCGCACTTTAAATACATTTTAATAATAACGTTTTTAAGAAAGCAGATAGCACATAAATATAGTGACATCATATGCTAATTATTCGTATTTATTAAAGCATTTCTCATTCATGAGGGCCCTACCTTAATCAAATTCATGAAGGATTATTAAATGCTACATAAATATTGACAATCACTTGTCATTAGTATTGTCATAATTACTGATACTGTATATTTACTTAACTACAGTTTTACGGTAATTCTGAATTAAATGCATTAAAGAGCAATATTGCCATCGAAACACAAACAAACAATCACACGGTTGAAAATTATCGGAAGCGATGAATCATGTTTTCGCGTTCAAATGAATACAAAATGATATACGAAACAAAACAAAACAAAAAATTGTGCACGCCTGTTAATGGGTTCCCAATGGATTTTATAACGGTATACATAACCAGCTTCAAGCTCAATGTCTATGCGAGGAATATCACCACCGCGATATTAAAACCCACCAGACGTATGCGCAGATTAACTTTTTGACAAAACTAACCGCATTTCGCGTTTTATTCCAAATTTTCGCGGCCTCTCGATTGGCTTTGCGATCAATCATGCCCTACTTCCAATTCAATTATGCTGCGATTTGTACAATTTTGGACAATACCCATCGCTCAGTCGCAATTTTCTATGGTTGTTTTTAGCCCTTGCCTTGGTGCGCAATGAAAGTGGATTGATATGGAAACAAATGAAGGAGTAAAGACCAATTCTGTTGGGACGGGAAAAATAATCTATTGCCTCTTCTCTAACAAACCTTTTATCGTGCTTTTTAAAAATTTATTGCAAAGGATTTACAATTTGCGAACAACCAATATTAGCATCATTTACTTACAAAAATCAGAAAGTAATCGCCAGCCTAATTTACTTTGGACAACTCTGGAATATACATAAAGCTATTTCGGAACGCTACAAAAATGGAAAAGATAAAAGAGATTTTATATTGTAACACTTGTTTAAAAGAGAATTCAGAAAAAGAATAGATATACAATGTAGCAGAAAGGAAAGAATACGAACGAAACGAAAAGGATGACTTACAAAAGTGATTGTTAAAATTCTTTTGAAAATTTGACCGATATGTGTAAGCTAAATATAATGTTGTAGTTACCTACCTTATTTGTTATTTGTGAATAATTAATGTTTTATCGACTTGTAAGATTTGTCTAAATTGATCCGTGATTTCTCATTATTGATAATTATCTTTGCCTTATCTTTAACCCTTTATAACAACTGCGATGGCTTTGCGACGGGTTTTTTTTTTTGCTGCCCCCGGCCCTATTGAGAGATGACGGAAATGCGAATAAGTAATACATGATAATAATAGGAGCCCCTATGTTCTTGCATCCCCATAAGATATCATAGAGTTTGATTCCTATCCTTTATAACCCCCAAAATTATATTTTTTTGTATCGCTCTTGTATTTCATCATAATAATAACGATGTCTTCTATCCACCAACCAGGCGCTCTTGTCGCTTGCTCCGAGATAATGATGTTGTATAAACTATCTATTTTAGACTGTGACCGGTTGACACACTTACTTTCTCCTTATTTTCTGCTGTTTTTCTTGCTTTATTGTGGATATATTGTGAAATTCTAGCGATGAGGGACCAATAAATGTAAGTTGTGAACACTTTCTATCATTACCTGGATAGTGAATGGTGACAGATGTCATACTTTTACGATTAACTCTGGAGTTATTACACGGTCTCTGAAAGAGAAAAGTTCAGCCTGGTCCCATTCCATCATAATTTTGCTGTGTCTACTACTACCTCACCTTCACCAACTATACCCATTTGCTCTTCATCCTGATAATCTCTGGTATTTGCCTTGATTGAACTCCCCATAATTGACTCTTCTTTGGATCTACAGTATTATTAGTGGATTAAACCCCTAACAATGGCAGCTACACGCACGACAAAGAACCTCGTTAAGGAGGTTCTGAAGGATGAAGATGTGCTTGCTCACATCAAAGGAGCTATTTGGGAAGCTTTAGATACCAAGTTCGATGAACTCATCAAACGTCTGGATATACAGGATGGAGCAGTATTGGATCTTCATAATAGGGTGAAAAGCATTGAAAGTAGTCTAACAAACATGCAAAAGAAACAACAGAAGTGCAAGGAGAGGAATAGATGGTTACAGAAACAGCTTAACGACCAGGAGCAATACTCTAGAAGAAACTGCATTCGTCTGTTCGGAGCACCTGAAAAAGAGAATGAGAACACCAGTCAGAGAGTATGTGAAATAGCCCAGCAACAACTTGGCACTATGAACATGACAGACAAAGAAAGCGGACAAAATATACAGTTCCTCAGGTAGACAAAGGAACATCCCTTCACTGCTATTATGTAAAAAGGTGAATATGCATGTGACACCTGTTCTACACATTTTTACATAATAGCAGCGAAGGGATGTTCCTTTGTGTACCTGAGGAACTGTATATTTTGTCCGCTTTCTTTGTCCGTCATGTTCATAGTGTGGTGTGGATCTGCTTCTGCAAGACATCGATAGGAGCCATCGTGGGCCACGTCGTACTGAACCTACACCTAATGAAAAGGGAGAAATTAGACCAAGAGCCATCATCATTAAACTTACATCTTATCAGCACCGGCAAAAGCTCTTAATAAACAGAAGAAAATTGAAGAACACTAAAATGAGTCTGCATAAGGATTTGACAAAGGCAAATCGCTCACTTCTATGGGAGGCCACTAATGCCAGTAAACTACAGGGGTCGAATGTCCTTTCAGCATGGTCTGCCAATGGAAGGATCATCGTGTCAGTGAAAACTACCAATGGGTCTATGAAAAGACAAATAAACAGCAAAGAAGACCTCCCCCTCGCCATTGGTTGAATTGTTTTAAATATTTGGCCTTAAAACTCATTTGTTCAAAGCAGCTTTTCAGTAGATTTAGTTTTATTTTCACATTGTCGTTGTTCATTTTTGTGTGTATTTTCTTGTGTACTTATATCTTTTCTTCTCCATGCGCCTCGAACACATTATTCATGTGGAGTTGGCGCAGTACAAATATTCTGTATTATTATTATTACATATACATTTCTAACTTTGTAAGTCTACTCTCCAAATCTTCTCTTTTTAAATCACATAATGAACATGAAGTGTTTTCTTTACTACTCTAATTGACTTTCATATATCAACATGTACTCCATACAGACTAATTGTCTGTCACCTACTTTGATTTTGTTTTTCATCAATATTATATTGTATGTTATCCAGGTAAATGAATAACCTTTTTTGTTATATCAATCGATACACTGTAGCTTAAGTTTTATTTTAAGTTTTATGTTTGATGTTAATTATTAGTTGTTTGTGATGTTTTGTGCAGATTGTAATCTTGCGATAAACACGGATTCATTCACTTGTTCCCATTGCAGAAACTATCATGATGATCGTCATACTTCTATAGATGATTTACATGATATACATGTATGCCAATGTCAATTTCCACAATGCTTCCATTCTATTTTTCCTTTCAATGATATCGACGATACTGAATTGATTGATATGTATGTTGACAGCACCAATACTCAATCGCTCGGAACTCAAGATTTGAATAACTTGTATAAAACATTTAATTCAAAAACTGATTTTGATTTTGAATTGGAATTTGATTTTAATTGCAAATACTATTTAGATGATCGATTTATAGACAGTTTTAAAAAAGTAAATAATAGCTTTAGCTTACTGCACTTTAACTCTCGTAGCTTGAACAAAAACTTTGATGCGATATCTGAATTTTTATCTACATTGTCGTTCAACTTTTCTATCTATGGATTTTCAGAAACCTGGATTAATTACAGTACCCCTTTATTGTTTGATATGAATTGTTATGCTTTTGTTCATTCTGATCGGAATCTTGGAAAAGGTGGAGGAGTAGCTCTCTTGATTTCTGATTCATTGAAGTATGTAGTTCGGACAGATTTATTAGAACAATCAGAAAATTTTGAATCACTTTTTATTGAAATAATGCTATCACAAAGAAAGAATATTATTGTGGGTATTGTTTACAGAAAACCCTCATCAAATATTATAGATTTTAATTGTAACTTTGAAGATTGTTTGAAGAAAATCGATTTAGAATGTAAGCATGCATATATAATGGGTGACTTTAATATTGACTTGATGAAGTATTTTAATTGTAATTCTGTAAATCAATTTCTTAGTATAATCTATGCATATAGTTTTTTGCCCCTAATAGATAGACCTCCTAGGATAACTCAGTCATCGTTTTCTTTAATTGACAATATTATTACAAACAATTTCAATTCTGACATTTCATCTGGCCTATTTGTGAATGACATCTCCGACCATTTCCCTGTATTCCAAGTTTCAAAGAAATACAATTTATCTAAAAATGCTTCGATATATGAACGTCGTAAAATCAATGAAAATACTATTACTACTTTCAAAGAAAAACTTGCTGTTATTGACTGGAATCAAACACTATTTTGTGAAAAAGTTGAAGTTGCTTACAATAGATTTTTAATGAAATTCAGTAACTTATATGATAATGTATTTCAAAAAGTTTCCAAAATCAAAGGGAATAAAAAAGGAAAAAACCTTGGATCGATTCAACGTTATTAAAAAAGATTCGGAAGAAAAATAAATTATTTAAGAAATATCGTGAAAATCCAAACTATAATACCAAGAAGAAATATGCACAGATAAGAAATGTTGTTAACAAGTCGTTAAAAAAACGCTCGGAAAAGGTTTTACGAACATGAATTTCAGGAATCTAGTGGTAATCTAAAAAAGACATGGAACATTATTAAAGAGGTACTTGGTAGTAAAAAGAATAATTTGCCTAAATTTGTATATGATAATGGGAACACTGTATGCGGGGATAAGAATATAGGAAATAGTTTTAATCAGTTTTTTATAAAAATTGGATTATTAATAAATGATTCCGGAAATCACCTTAATAGCAATGATTATACCAAATTCTTGCTGCAGAAATGTTCTAAATCATTGTTTTTTAAACCTGTTACTGAAAATGAAATAGTTGAAGTTACTAACAAAATCAAATGTAGTAGTAGTTGTGGTATTGACAATTTGAGTCCGGTAGTTATTAAGAAAATAATAGTACTTATTTTGCAACCATTATGTCATATTTTAAACTTATCCTTGTCTTCTGGTATTGTTCCTTCTAAGCTTAAAATTTCTAAAGTGATCCCTATATACAAAAAAGATAACCTACATAATGTTTTTAACTATCGCCCCATTTCACTACTCCCATTCTTTTCAAAGATCTTAGAAAGAATTGTGTATAATCGATTATACGATTTCCTTTTTAGTAATCATCTTTTAAATGATTATCAGTTTGGCTTTGTAAAAAATGTATCTACCGAAATGGCTTTGATTAACCTGCATGATTATATAATTAATGCATTAAATAAGAAACTTCATACTGTTGGAATATTTTTAGACTTAAGTAAGGCGTTTGATTGCATCGACTATACCATATTATTACATAAACTGCAATTTTATGGAATAAGGGGCCTTCCTCTACTCTGGTTTCAAAACTACTTATCTAGCCGTGTGCAATATGTTTCTTACAATAATGTTTTATCTGAGCCTTTAAATGTTATATACGGTGTGCCCCAGGGATCTATACTTGGGCCACTTTTATTCTTGATATTTGTTAATGATCTTCCAAACTGTTCAAATAAGTTGAGATTTGTACTCTTTGCGGATGACACCAATATTTTAGTTTCTCATGATTCTTTACAATCTTTGAATAATATTCTCAACTTTGAATTGCACAAGGTATCTGAATGGTTTTATTATAACAAACTATCCTTAAATATGGACAAATCAAATTATATATATTTTTATGTTAAAAATACTAAAAAAATAACATAGAGTTATTGGGTATAAAAATGAATAATCAAGTTATAAAGCGTGTAAGTCACACAAAATTCTTAGGCGTCTTGATTGATGAAAAACTTACATGGAATAACCATATAACATATGTAACAAACAAAGTATCCAAAAATGTTGGTGTCATGCGCAAACTTAGCAATTTCTTCCCTCAACGTATTCTTATTACTTTGTATAATACCTTAGTCTTGCCTTATTGATCTTATTGTAATGTAGTGTGGGTAAACACATATCCAACAAAATTACAACCATTGTATTTATTACAGAAAAGAGCTCTTCGTATATGTTCATTTTCTTGGAGACAAGCCCATACCAAAGAATTATTTGTTAAATTTAACGTTCTCACTGTGTTTCAACTCAACTCTTACTACTGTTCAATATTACTTTTTAAACATAAACAGAATATGCTCCATAAATCATTATCATCAATGCTCACTTCTAATACAACTGTTCATGACCATAATACAAGAAGCAGAAATAAATATCATCTATGGACTGTTAATAAAAATTACTCACTATTCTCTTTTAGACATCATGCTCCTGTTATCTGGAATAATCTGCCACTAGAAATAAAATCACTAACTCAATGAATGCCTTTAAAAGAAAACTCAAATCGTACTTAATCACAAGTGTTTGAAATTTTGAATTGTTGATTTTACTGCCTTGTATTGTCTTGTGGTGGGTTTGTGCGGTTATGTATTTTTAAAATAAATTATGTCATATTTTTATATTTGTTTATTCCTTTATAGTATTTTACCTTCATCAAGGGTGGTCGTCTCGACAAATCCACATGGTTTTTTATGGCCATCCTATTCCAATAATGCTCTGTCTTATGTTGTTATCTGTTGTATCACTTTATAGTTTTATAATTTTACCTTATTTTGTATTATTGATCGACTTATACATGTATGTATGCTGCTCCTGTATAGGTATGGTTTAAATGATATTAAACAGTTATTCAATGAATCGTGTTAATCCCATAAATCCAAGTCTTCCTTTTTGTTTCCTTTTTTTTAAACGGTGATCATTATTTTTTCATTGAGCTGAATGCAAATAAGCTTCGAGGGTGCCTATTATACGTTTAAAAGAATTGGCGATTGAATGCATTCTCCTTTTGTATCTTGTTTTCTTAAAAATTACCTGTAATAATCGTCCATAGTATTTTCTGTTTCCTTTGCCCTCCCCCCCCCCCCCCGCTCCCTTGCCCGACTCTAGTTCTCGCGCACTTTCTATCCTACATCTTCATAGATTATTATATTGATCTGCTTTCAACCCTAATCCTCTCCCCTCCCCACGTGTATGCTTCTAAATCTGTCTTTCAGAAATCTGTATTTTCATGTTGCCCCCCACCCCACCCCCTCTCCAGATCAATTTCTCACTTGCATCAATTGCAACAGCTTTTCTCCGTCTCATCTTGTTGGCATGGCAACGATCTGATCGATGATTGAGATTAGCACCGTCTCGAGTTTCCCGCCAAACGGACGAAGAAGAAATAAACGACAACAAAAAATAAGTGATCTCGACATTCGAAGACATACCACCATGAGAATGTGAAGCAGCGGATGCGAGGGATAGCTTACCGTTTTTGTTCTCTGCATGGAATGTTTCCATATTTGCAGCAAACTGTTCACTAGCAAAAGAGGATTCTTGACCATGTTTTAGAAATGTTAGTCTTATACCTCATAAACAAATGACACACTAGTTTCGGACGGAGGCGAAGCTATAAAACTTGTGTAATTATGTTTAAAAACGAACCCATTGATAGAAGTGCAGTGTGAGAGGGAGAAGAGGAAAAGAAATAGATACAAATGAAAAATAGAGAAAGAAGGGGGATAAAGAAAGAGAAAAATCAGGTGCTAATTAGACAGATATGCGAGAAAGAGAGAAGGAGATACAAACATCTAAACATGAACATAAAGAAGGTATCCCGACATCCAAAGATATAAGAATGTGAGATAGTGGATGTGAGGGATAGCCTACCACTTTAGTTCCGACAGCCTATATCTTGGGAGCGACTATGTTTCTATCTCTTTTGCGAACTTGTTAAATAATCAGAACTAAATTCTTGACTATGGTGCAGATATGTTAGTTCTGGTTGGTAGTTTACCGCTTAAACAAATGATACACTACAGTTTCGGACGGACAG